TTGTAGATAGTTTGTTTGTTTAACAATAGTTAGTAGATAGCAGTGGGAGCGAAGGGCCCTTCCCTTCTCTCTTGGGTGTGTTGGGGATTTGGGGCATGCTATAGCTCACCAACCGAATTGGTGCAAGATCTGTAAGGCCTACAAGCCTTGGACCAGAAGGGAGGAGGACACTGATCTGAAACATCTCCTCCTGGAGTCCTCCTTGGATCCACGTCATCCAGATCTGGTACCAAACCCCTCCACTCATAGCGCACAATCCTCAGCGTCGACCACCAGCACAAAAAAAGGACTCTCGCCGTGGGAAGTCCCTGACGGCTCCAGCTTGGCTCCGCTTTCAATCCCTGGTGCCGTCCTCCAGAATGGCCAACTCTATGTTGGTGGTATCATTGTCGACCCCTGGGCTGACTCCTTCAATGTTGGGGAGCGTTTGAGGATCCCAACCCCATGGTGCTGATGCTCAGGGGCTTCGTCAAGATGACTGGGTCTCTCCCTTCCTGTGGGAGGCTTTTGGCCCCGTGTCAGACTTTGTGGGGAAATCCCCTGCCATGTTAAGGCCCCTGCCTTCTACCTTGGAGTCTCTGTGCCACTCAGTGTTCCCACACCACCAGTCTGACTCATGGCAATGGTCCCGTCATTCCATCCGCTCCTACAGAGACCAGCTCTGAAGTTCTCTGTGGCAGGATGGACATGATTCCAGAGTGGACTCCACTTGGCTGCTTAAGGTTGCCTTCATAGAAGCTCCTCGGGGCTTCTCACCCTCTCTTGGCACCGCTCCCCAGACTATGTTTCCTTGGGCTGGAAAATAGTTTTGTACCACTCTCGGCATTGTTGCTTGGAGCATGCGGCATACTCTTGACACTGGTTGCCAGAGCTCCATCTCCAGCATCAGTCATGTTCCTGCTCATGCTGGAAATCCTGCTCTGGCTGCAGATTCCACTCACGGTGTCGATTCCAGTCCCGGCCCTCATTCTGGCGTTTATCCTGGCACTGGTCCTTGTCTTGGCAACATTCATCTTGGACCCAGTGGTGGTCTCCACATTGATCATGGTCTCATGATCATGGCCATTCAGTTTCTCAGTGCCCAAGCGTCTATTGGGACACAGCACTGAAAGCTCTGTCCCTTGTCATCAGCACGGCAACACCTTGGCCATCTCGATTGTGCTCCCCAGTGTTGTTCCAGAGGGAGGTTTCAGTGATGTCAGACAGGTCTACCCCCTACTGGTCCTCCTTCATGGGGCCATCCTGTCCCTCGGTGGCCACTTTAGTGACAATTCGGGACCCTGGGTGCATACCATCAAGCCCAGGCCTTGTTCCCAGAAAGGCCTACTTTGTTCCCCTCTAAGCCTAGGGTTTCAGAGGCAACAGTCAGCCTCTCCCCCCCCTCCAACAACGGATCATGCTGTAGTGACTATCCTGTAGTCCCTCTCAGTCCTCTGGCCCAGGAGCAGGAAGGAGAGCTCCCAGTGGCCTCCTAATCTTCCTCCCCTGACCAGGCGGTGGCGGGCATTTCAGTCTTGGATCCTCTTCCCATGCACTGTAGGGCCCTCCAGGATTTGCTCCTCAAGGTGGCTGCCGGCCTAAACCTGCAGATGGAGGAGGTGGTTGAGCAAGATGACCCCATTGTCAATGTCCTGACCACAGAGTCCCCCTCTCGAGTGGTCCTCCCCATCGTCAAGACTCTTATGTCCTCGGCTAAAACCATATGGCAGACACCCTACTCCTGTCCTCCTATGTCAAAGGGGATCAAGTGGAAGTATTTTGTGCCAGTCGAGGGCTTTGAGTACCTCTTCACCTACCCAGATCCCTGTTCATTGGTTGTCGAGGCAGTCAACAAGAAAGATCATCACCGGGCCTTGGCTCTAAAGTCTAAGGACTCTAGGTGCCTAGACATTTTTGGCCATAAGCTCTACTCCATGTGAAGAAGGGCTGGGCGGCAGGGTCATATATAGGACGTCACACCTGCGCCACACAGGGGACTCTGCCCACTGAACAGGTAGCAGCTAGGGTGGAAACTTTCTGACAGTCGGGCAAACAACGCACATTCACCTTATTGGAATAGATACGAGAATACATCTTGAAGAACAGCAACTACAACGGTCAGTAACCATTTTGGATTTTTTATAATGTAATATTTGAGAAGGGCATTGGTGGCTTCAATAGCGGTCAGACATGGCAGCCAAAAATTGGAATTTGCTGTGGTTTTGTTTTTTAAATGCACATCTCAAATGTTGTCTCTTCAAGTATTTGAAATAGCTGAGAAACAGCAGTAGCAGCATCACAAAATCTTAATTTTCTTTAGAATCATAGAATCCTAGGGTTGGAAGAGACCTCAGGAGGTCACCGAATCCAATCCCCTACCCACAGCAGGACCAACCTTAATTAAATCATCCCAGTCAGAGAATTGTCAAGCTGGGACTTACAAACCTCTAGACATGGAGATTCTACCACCTCCCTAAGGAACCCATCCCAGTACTTCACCACCCTCCTACAAAGAACAGCTTTTCTTAATATCGAACCTAGACCTCTCCCACTGTAACTTGAGACCATTTCTCCTCATTCTGCCATCCATCACTACTGAGAACAGCCTCTCTCCACCTGCTTTGGAAACTCCCTTCAGGAAGTTGAAGGCTGCTGTCAAATCCCCCCTCACTCTTCTCTTCTGCAGACTAAACACGCCCAAATCCCTCAGCCTCTCCTTATAGGTCAAGTGCTCCAGCCGCCTCATCATTTTTTTTCCTCTCTGCTGGACTTTCTCCAATGCTTCCACATCCTTTCTTTAGTCCCACTGGAAGAGGGATAGAGATTTCAAGGGATAGAGAAGGGAGGAGCAAATATCTCTCCATTGTGCTTACCAAACCACATTTTCTGCACATGTGTCTTGCAGCCTGCATAGGCTCCTGGATAATTCCACAGCATTTGATAGATCTAGAGGTGGCAGACTGGGGGTTGAAGCTATTTTCTGTGACAGACTTCCTTGAGGGCTGAGTGAGTTTCCAACTGAACGTCAGCTCAGAAGTTAATGTTGCTGAAAGCATCGGAGTTTCACCCTCATTTCTGTAAAGAGTATGTTCTTTAGTTTAGTAGGGAAAACCCATGTGATGTTTTCAGTACTTTTGAAGATTTTATTAACCTGTACCCAAGACCTCTTTCTAATAAGGACTCTGGCACTAGCCTAGTGCATACATCACAATCTCCTTTCAGTGTTACAACATGAGTTTGATTGCATTTATGTGTGTATCCAGTATTTTTTTCTGTTGGATACTGTGTCACAGCCAGTGTTTCCTCTGCTTTTTTTCCATTCATGGGCGGAATAAATTTTGGAATGTGCACCAAGGCAAGTGCATATGTGCTCTACCAGTAGAAATACATGTTGCTGGCTGTGGGAGCTGATAATCAGCTAGGCGACACCTGAATCTCTCCTAAGTTGTTACCAAGTGGTCAGCTTACGGGGAACACTGGTTGCAGCTATATTTGGCTATAAACTCAGAATCTGAAAACAAGACAAAGGTGAATATCTCCCAGACTTTTATTTTTAATTTTCTTGATTCCAGAATGGTTTCTACCTTAAAGAACTTGCAGAGTCAATTTTGCTTTAGACTTCCACTGCAATTTTCAAAGAAGCCCAAGGAAATTAGATGACCAAATGATGTCTAATTTCAATACAAGTTGGACACGTAACTCTTTCCAGCTTTTCAGTATGCCCTATCTGAAAAGTCATTGAAGGAAGATGTGTAGATGGGAACTTCACACTATAAAGCCACTGCTCAGATATTACTAATATACATTGCAAAGAAAAAAGTGTGGGCTTTGAAAAATGATAAATGTTTATTTATTTGAATTTTTTCTCCCATGTGGTTTCTGGTTTAGGATTTACTGATGTGAACAATCCCTCCACCTATCTACAAAGTGACTTGCAAAAAAGTCTTGCTCTGAAGAATTTGACTGGGTTTGGTATAGTCATTTATGGTTTCATAAAAAGTTTCTATTAGATTTCTGAGGGGAGATGCTGTCTTTTGTGGCTTTATGTATCACTGGAAACACAAGCTACATCCAGCAAAAGCATGTGATTTGAATATTTTGCCAGAGTGAACATTTGTTCTATCAGACAGATGATAATGGTAAAGATATTTGTTCCCAGAGAAAGATATGCCAGGAATTTCCTCGGGCCTGGTCAAATGGCTTGCTGGCCTTACACTCTCATTTTTAAACATGTAATCTTTATCAGACCTTCTGTAAATTGATTATGGACAAGATACCCCTGTTCACCTTTGAGAGTGAAGAAACATTATTTTCTTTCATATTTCTTTATCAACCAACAAGAATAAGACATACATATATTGTGTAGAAGGTATTAGATTTCTCTCTTACCTGCGCACACACAAATATACAGTCTAAATAATTTTTTAAAAATTTATTACAGATACTAGTGGTTTTGTGGTCTGTCTTGAATGAATATGTTGATAGGGCATCAGGATTGGTAGTCCTTAACTTTATCAAGATTTTGCTGTTTGATATTCAAACTTGTCTCCGCAAATTCTAGTCTTGCTGTTTTCTAATGGTTTGATCAAAGATGTTTGAAATTGCTTATCGTTTGGAAATGTAGTTAGCCAGTTCTTTTTACACAACTTTTTGGGGGGAGATTGGGAGGGTCTAAATATACCCCAGTTTTTGAAAACTATTACCAGGAGCATTTCTACTGTTTCTGGTAGAATCATAATGAATGAAGTGTACAAATGACTGTGCTGTATTTTCTTGCTGTTGTTAATAGTAATCGTCTCCTCCCTCCCCCTTTTCCTGCTGCCTTTTTTCCCCTCCTCTTCCCATGTACTTTTTGAATTTATTCAATCGGTCTGTGTATGATTTTTTTTTCCTGCCTTTTGCTTTTCTTTTATCTCTGACCCTACTCTCGTCTCCCCCTTTCGCTTGCTTGTGTTCCATGTTGCTAGTTTTTATGTTCGCACGCTCATTATCACCCTTTTTTGTACTTCAAATCCCAGCAGCTGTCCAGCCAGGTCCCAGAGCACATCCCTGTGGTTTATGGGACTGTGGAGAACACTCCTCTAGCTGCCAGCACCCCTGTCACTGCAACTAGCGACCCGAAGCAAGGTTTGTTAATGGATATTTTCTCCCTGGTATTTTTAGTCATTTCCTCTCTCATTAGTTTGACTTTTTATAAGCCTGTAAGCAAGCAGGATGGCCAGCTCCAGAAATAGAAGCTTCTTTGTGAAGCTTTGACAAAACTGGTGAATTATTTACAGATTCATTAAAATTTGGCAAAGCACAAATTTTACAATTGGGTAAAATTCACTCTTCTGAAACATTGTCCCAAAGCAATTGGTAGTCTTACTCTGCTTTTCTCATGTGCTATGATATTGCCTTCAAAGCCAGCACAATTATTGCCAGGAGAAAAAGGTCACATGGACAGAGGAACTTCTTAAGTATGTCATTTGAACCTACATTTAGCCACAGAGATATCACTTACCCAACACACCGCAATGATTCCTGTAGAGCTGTTTGTCATATTCTACCAGCATCCTCAGTATATCGGTAGAAGATGTTAATTAGCAAATTGTGCAGTAAATGGCTTGCCAAATTTCACTTTGTACTTGGAGTTGTTTTCAAATTGTGGAAGGTGAAAATTGTCTTTAAATGATTAAATTTCATTGTTATAGCTTTTAAAAAATTGAGTTTTTAAAATGGGTGTTTAAAAGAAGATATTCTTAGACTTGAGTAACTGCATGCCAAGTTTCTTTGCACAATGAAATGTTATGTCACATTAGATACCCTTAAGTGCTTGGGTATATAATGTAAGTGGTGTGCATTGTTAAGTGTACTGGCATTATCTTAACTGGTATTTCAATTATTTACTTTCATTCATTGGGATACACTGTTTGGGGCTTTATTCCGGAGGATCGGGCCAGTCTAGACGCTCTTTTCCGGCTTTTCTACAAGCCGGAAAAAAGCGGCGGACATCTTTATTTAAATCCCGCGGGGGATATTTAAATCCCCCGCGGATTTCCCTATTACGAAGTTTAAAATTAGCATGCCCCTTTCGGAAAAGGGGCCAGTGTAGACGTAGCCTTAGAGTTTGAGGATGATTTCCTTCCATGAAATGGTAGCTTGTTATTGCTGGTAGATCTGCAGGTAACGGTTAAGATCAACCCAGGATCCTTAGACTTTGTAACAGCTTGGACAGACTTTTTCTGATGAAAGGGGTGGATCTGGATTGTTGAGTCAGGTCATGGTGCATTCTTTCCTTCTTTTTCATTTCTCAGTTGGGTCTTGAAATTCTAGAATCATTGCCACAAAATCCTTTCCCATTTTAGTCGGTTGATGGCTTGGTTTTCTCATGTGTTTGTATATGTTGGCTTTGAGAATGTCTTTGAAGTGCCTTTTTTGCCTCCCATGTCTTGGCTTAGGTGTGAGAATAGGACCTGCATTAGGAGTTGATTGGTTTTCATAGAATATCACCAGCTCAATTGAATTGATGATGGATGAATTTTGGGATTGGGACAAATGCTGATGTTGGGGCATTGATCATTGCACTTGATGGTATTGGTTAGGAGCCTTGATGTGTCCATTGTATGTCACTCATGTTTCAGCACTTTACAGGAGAGCAAAAATAATGATGGCTTGCTACATGAGATGTTGGTTTGCTTCTTGATGTCCCAGTCTTCAAAAACGTTTTCTTGGGTATTGGAAGTATCGGAAGTGTTGTTGAATCTGCTCTTTCAGTGCCCCTGTCTATGGCAGATGTCTGGTGAGGTAATGGAAGTGCTTTGTATTCTCCAGGGTGTCTGTTGATCTTAATTGAGGGAGCACTAACTTGGTTGTTTAATGTCCATTGGTAGATTTGTTGTTGATTGTAAGCCTCAGAGAAGATGTTGACTGTTTTTTGAATATTTCGAAAAGGAGCACAGGGCATAGTTGTTCAGTGTGTGATTCAGTGATAGTATTTGCCTTGAATGAAAGGCAATTGAGACTGACGGGCTTACCCATCCATTCTGTATTGAATATTAAGTCCAGAGGCGACCTTGCCAATGATGAGAAGTTCTGTTAAAGTTCTGGTCTCTACAACATCCTCTGACAGGGAGTTCCACAGGCTGATTGTGCACCGCATGAAGAAAAACTTCTTTTTGTTTGTTTTCAACCTGCTACCTATTAATTTCATTTGGTGACACCTAGTTCTTATGTTATGGGAACAAATAAATAACTTTACCTTATTCACATTTTCCACACCACTCATGATTTTATAGATCTCTATCATATCCCCTCCCCCCCCCCACACCATTCTCCTCTTTTCTAAGCTGAAAAGTCCCCGTTTTTTTAATCTCTCTTCATATGGGACCCGTTCCAAACCCCTAATCGTTTTGTTTCCCTTTTCTGAATCTTTTCCAGTGCCAATATATCTTTTTTATGATGAGGCGACCACATCTGTACGCAGTATTCAAGATGTGGGCGTACCATGGTTTTATAGAGAGGCAATAAGATATTCTCTATCTTATTCTCTATCCCTTTTTAAATGATTCCTAACATTCTATTTGCTTTTTTGATGGCCGCTGCACACTGAGTAGATGTTTTCAGAGACCTATCCACAATGACGCCAAGATCTCTCTCTTGAGTAGCTGTAGCTAAATAATACTTTGCTTCAATCCTCACTTTATTCACTACAGAACAGGAATTGGAAAGCTGGTCAGTGCTGTTTATGTCCTTAGTTCAGGGCACAAAGAAGTGTGGACCAGTGTTTCCTTTAAGCTGTGCTTTAATTATATGGTGCCCTGAGCCTCTGACTGGGCCGGGCTGATTAATCACCTGTGAAGCTTACTGGGAACATAGGTGTGGACCAACTGCTGCTGAAAAATTATCTTGTCTCAGGGACATAGAGGGCATGTGCAACCACGGTGAACATGTATAGGGACCATACGTTTCAAAAAACACATTATGATAAAGTAATTCACCTTACTTTTTCCAACTCAGCCTGATCTCTTTCACCAGCATATCTCAAAATGAAACAGAACCTCTCTTTAGTGGAAACCATACTTAACTCCCTGCTCATTTTCCTTTTTATGTGGGACACATTTTAATTTTCACTTCTGGAATTTAAAACAAAAGTATAAGGGTAGAATTATAAGTCTTTTTGGAGACCCTAAAGGTCTGAGGAATTTAGAAACTTCATTTGACAGTAAAACAATCTACAGTATCTCACTTCTTAATAATAACATGGTGTTTCGCATCTTTAAAGCAATAAACAAATTACTAAAATCATCACAGCATTCTAGTGAGATAGGCAAATCATAGTATTTCCATTTTACAAATAGAGAACACTAGCAGAGAGGGGTTGTGACTTGCTCAATGGAAAGAGGAATTCATTTTTAGAATGAATTTCACCATGTTGTTCCTGGGTCTCAGTGTTACCCTTAGGGTGTGTCTGCACAGCACCTTAAACTCAAAATAAGATACGCAATTTGCGCTACGCACAGTTCTGGGACGCTGAAATAGCACACCCATTATTTTGAAAAATATTTCGAAATAACTGGTGACCCATGGAGACTCAGGGTAATTATTTTTGGATACCTCCATTATCCCGAAATAGCTGTGCAGTGTAGACCTTCCCTTTGTCCACTAACCTCTTACCTAGAATTTACCTACTTTTATATTTGTTGTGTAGTCATTGTCATTTTTAGGAACAAGAGTCCAGTTTAGAGCAACAAAACATCTGTATGGTTTCCAAAATTAACAACAAACATGTCTTCCAGGGTTAAGGTTTTTAAGCATGCTTGGCTCAAGAGAAGTATGATCTCTTGAAAAGAGTTTTGTTCTGAAAACCTCAAGTGGTCATTAACTATTAAAGTTCCCCGAGAATCTTGGTTCTCACTTAGAATTAAAGGTTAGCTGCTGCTTCTGCAGTGTTCCCAGGGATCACCTGGAACACAGAGTGGGGCAATAAGAAGGACTGTAAATTGGAAAACTGTTCTGTCCTTGTGATGTTTGTTTGTTTGTTTCTTCCTTAGAAGAGAAAGCAAAACCAGATCCAGTATTAAAATCTCCTTCCCCAGTTCTCAGACCAGAGCCTAGTGGGGAGAAAAAAGGTCCAGCTGGCCAGACATCTGAAACTGCTTCAGTGGAACCACCACCAGAGCTTCCTCTTGCAGAATCACCAGTCCCTGTTGCTCCGAATGCAGGTGTAACTGCAGCTGCTGTTGCTGCTGTTTCTAGTGTATCTACATTCACAGCTGACTCAGAGGAGAGATGTGAAATAACTTCCCCGACAGAGGACACTATGCCTATATCCAATGCCACACCCTTCACAGAAGAATCGGACCCTTTACCAACAGAAGAGGCTGATGCTGATATGTGCAAAGAGCCTTCTAATGTAGCACCTAGTGATATTCCCGTGACTGCTAGTACTAATCTAATTAATGACATGAATGGAGTTAGTGAAAAAGCTCCTATGGATGGCACAACAGAAATAGTTCAGATGGAAGTTGCTTCATTGACTGTTGAACTGGAGAGTTTGGAAGGTCCTCCTGTAGAAGTAGAAATTGTACCATCTCCCATTGCTCTTTCCACCTCTCCCTCTCCTCCTCCAACTCCTCCTGTTCCTGTAGCTGCTGCTGTTATCACTGTAATTCCTCCTTCCCTTCCTCCTCCTCCTCCTCCTCTTCCACCTAGTTCCCTCCCTGCTCTTCAGGGAGATTTAGATGGAGAGGAGAGCAGAAGAATTCCTCTTATCGAAGATGTAAAAGATACTCAAAAGAAGGAAGAGATGGAAGAAGATGGGCAACCAGAGGGGAATGCAGAGTCTCAGAATTTAACCTTCAGGAAGAGCCCTGTACCAGGTAAGTGCTTGACCTTACAGTCCAGCATGTGTTAAACTTGGAGAGAGGGAAATGGGCGTGGTGTGGGTACAATTTTTAATCAGTGTTGTTCCTTCAGTTCCCCTGTGTTCCCACCCGTGGAGCTGTCACGTACCAAAGCACCAGTGGTTTACTCAGGAAATGCTTATTCTTAGTTAATAAGCACATCTAGGAAAGCTAATGAGGTTATTGCTATTGTTTGTTATAAAATGTAATTCTGATGTTGATAGAAGGGATTGCTTGTTAGACGTTCCCTGAGAATGTGTTAATTGTTACTCGTCTCCGGGGGAGCTGTGTTAGTCTGGAACTTCACAAATGAGGAGTCCTGCGGCACCTCAACGACTAACAGATGTATTTGGCCAAAAGCTTCTAAGTGGTTTTTACCCACAATAGCTCACAGCCAGAGAAATCCGTTGCCTTGAAGGTGCCACAGGACTCCTCACTGTGTCACTTCATAGCAGCTCTTGGTTTATTTTGTTTCAATGGGAGCAGGGGACAGAACTGCACCATATGTGTGTCCAGCCAGAAATCCTAAAAGACATCACTCCTCTCTAACCTGGCTGAACAACCAGCTCCTTTTGATTTGTCATCCTGCACTAAAATCATCTTTATTTTCACCAGTCTTTCAATTCTTGAGAGTGAACCTTCTGAGAAGGCTGTCTCATAGGCTTGCGTTTTGGACAATGACAAGAAAATGATATTTTTGAAAGAGATAAATGAGTTGGGCACTTACGCAATGACTGAAATGCCAAGTGTTACACACCAGATCTACCCAGCTTCATTTAAGTAACATTTTCCCCTACAAAAGTAATGTTGCAATAGTCCTATTTTGTAAACAAAATGTTCTTTCCTACTCAGTAGACTTTATTGTTATATCAAATGTCAATATTCCTGGAGTTAAAAGAAATAAACCCAAACTATACACATCACCCTGGGAAGGTTGCGAGTTGTTTATGAATGATTTGGAACCCAGAAATGAGATGCAAACTTCTGTAATTAAAGCCTGCATTTTCATCCCAGAACTGTTAACTACATTTGGTTTAAATTGTCCTATTCAAACGTTGTGGTTTTAGCTTTAAATTGATTAGTTTAGCCAACATTTTTTATTTTCTTTATTTGCTTCATTTTATGTGAAAGGTCATTGTTTCTGAAAACAACAAAGTGTGGAAAATTTATCAATTTTTGAATTGTAATTCTTCACACTTGTGTCCTTTTAGGAAAGTCTTCAGAAGAATTCCTGCAGCCAGTCAGGGTTGGTAACTGCTAGAATGAGGGCTTCACTATGAATTTCTGGTTTCTGTGACATTTTAGCTAGTAGAGACAGATGCTGAACAGCACAAAAACATCACAAGAGTTTTGTTATTTTTCTTGGATTAAAGATTAGGAGACTGTTTTTGATCTCTGAAATGAGGTAGAAATGGGAATAAAAATTTATGAACTTGGTGAAGCTGAGTTCTCAACTTTTTAGAAAATACTTCGAAATAACATTGTCCACGTCTATACACAAGCAGTTATTTCAACATAAAGTCGAAATAATGTCAAGCTGGAGGACTGCTTACTCTGACTCACGGGAGGTTGGGGGAAGAGTGCTCTGTCTTGAAATAACTGCTGCTTAGACACCACCAAAAGTTGAAATAAGCTATTTTGACTTAAGCTACACAGTTAGTGTCGCTCAAGTTGTGTAGCTTATTTTGAGTTTACCCCTGCTGTGTAGACGTGCCCTCGATGTTATCAGATCTCATAAATAAGGCTCCAGTTTAATCATGGGTCCTTTCAGTAAAAGTCATGGATGGGTCACTGGCAAAAAACAAAAGTATCCTGGCCCATGACCTATCCATGAATTACCATTAACCCTGATTGAATCTTCAGTGGGGTGGGCGGTGCTGGGGCATTCAAGGAGCCCACTGCTGGGGGGAAGCCCCATCAGACCAGCGGCTGCTCTCTGAGGTGAGCCAAAATGGCCACTGCAGAAGTCATGGAGATCACAGGAAATCACAGACTCCCCCTGCAAACCACATGACAAACATGGGGCCCTACTCAGAAAGCATGCCTGGTTTGGACTGGAGACATCTAAAAGTAATTTGATTGTTTCAGGAAGCGCATACTCATTGAATTAGTATTGAATTGATCCCTCCGTGTGATGGTAGACCATGTTGTAGGAAGTGCTGTCTTTTGAAGGAAGCATGAAATCAGTGCTCTGACCTCTTGCAGTGAAAACTCTCATGATGCTGTCTGCAAAATTAAGTGTATTAGATCTTTTTTGCCAGGGCAGAATGCCAGTCCCTGTATTTATAGTTTGGTCTAGCTCAGGGCTGGCTTGAGGGGTGAGCGAGCTGGGCAACTGCCCAGGGCTCCAGCCGATGGGGCGCGTGCACCAGCAGCAGTGGCCGGGCCAGGCTGGGCAGCGTGTGCGCTGTGCGCCCCGGGGGCGGGCCCCAGGCTGTGCGCCAGCGGCTGTGGCCAGGCCACATATGTGCTGTGCGCCCCAGGGCAGCGCCACGTACCCGGGCCCGGGACGCCAAAATGGCTCGGGCCGGCCCTGGTCTAGCTAAAATTTCCTTTATGGCTTTAATCTGAGTTCTGCACTTCCTACTCTAAATTATTGGGTAATGTGGTTGGCATTGTGTTAAATGTATCATTTCGTATCATAGGTGACTTCACTAAGTGGTGGGTGAAATTGTCTATGCATATACCTGGGTATTCTGTAGAGCACCTTGGAAGGAATTGTTCTATGGGAATGAAAGGACTTAATGAATGTGGTGTAGTATTATTGTCTGCAAACAGAGTTGTACATTTGATGGAACAGACGTCTGTCCAACAAGAGGATTAACTCCAGTCTCCTGCAGTTCTGTGTTATAAAGCAGGGGTGGGGAACCTATAGCCGTGATTCTACAGCAGGGCAAGCCAGTGTGGACACTGCAGCCACATGAGGGAGGGAGCCCTAAGCTTCATGGTCCTGACCAAGGCAGGCCAGGGCTAGATCCATCCTGTGGGCTTTGCCTGGCAAGGGGAAGGAAGTGGCTTGGTGCACTGCAGGGAAGTGCCCCCCACAGACACAGTCCCCACTAACACCCGGGAATCAGAGCCAATGGGAGCATCAGGGGATGGTACCTATAGGAAATGTTTCCCTGCAGCACACACAACCGTGCAGAGAACCTGTGTCCTGTGTTCTCTGCTCCTCGGGGGAGCTACGCCGTGTAGATGCTCCAATCCCCTGCCCCCTTCCTTATCCCACTTCTGCACCATCCCTCCTTCCTAGACCATGCATCCTACCTCCCTTCTAAATGTCATACTTTTACCCATGCCCACTCCCTGGCAGCCCCCTCCTGCACACTGAACCCCTCTTTTTTTGCCTCGTCCCAGAGCCTAACAGGGGCCACAAAATCCACTAATCCCAGGCCGCCAGAAAAATTAATCCTATCCTGGGGCTAAGTCCTGAACCTTGGCACTCCTCCCTACTCCCCACTTGTGGCTGGAGCCTGAGGTGAGTCTTTTTTTTCCTGCTTCTCAGTTGGGGGCCATATCTGTGGGGGTTTTCCCCTCCTCCTTGGGGACCGAGTGAGGATTGTGAGTTTTTATTTTTGGAGGTCTTTTTGCTTTTCACTTGTGTGTGACTCCCAACACAAAAAATGTTCCCCACTCCATTATAAAGCAAGAAAAGGAAAGGTGTCTTACCAGTAGAGAGAGGCCTATGTTGAAATTTTGGCTCTTTGAAGTCATAGAACCTCCACCTTCTATTTTAGTGTTGCCCAGATTTCAATCCATGATTTTATCAAGAGGGAAAATCTGTGTATTAATTTTTGTGTGATCTTTCTTGTGATTATTGTAGGGAGGTGATACATGAATATTTAATGCATAATTTGGGCTATTTTTTACTATTGTTTTAAAAACCTGAATAGATGATTTAGTCTAGTTTGAAACAATAGGCTTTTATGTGGTTATATTTATAATATTATTAGGTTTTTTTCAAATCTTACAAATGTACCAAAATACAAGATTCATCATAATACACAACAAAGTGAAATAATTGTCCAGGAAGATGGACTTTGAATTAAATACCCAGCAATGTTCTGTATTAAAAATAGCAAGAAGATAGTATCATTTGGCTACCCTCAAAAGGCAGAGAATACCTCAAAAATCTGCGAACTCCTCCCTTGCAGGAGGAAGCGTCTCAAGATGCGTTAATATGAGTTTTGGCCAATAATTGTATCACTTCGTGTTTCTAACTTCTTAGTCAAAACCGAATGTATAAGTTTTAGTATGGTAGAATCTTATGAACACTCCAGGAAGTGTGTGTGTGTGGGGGGGGAGTGTTTCTAACAAAATGTTATACTTGTTCTTTCAAAAGTTTACAACTGAACATTAAGTTAATACAGCTTTGAATTGTCTTTCTCTTTTCTTTTTTAGTAGTTTACATTTAACACGGTGGTACACAGTATAGGGGGTGTGTGGTGTGGTGGTTTTTATTTTTGGGGTTTTTTTGTCTCTGCTGCTTGGTAGCATTACTTCTAGTTCCAAGTGAGGTATGTGGCCTACCTCATCAGTTCATAACTATGGTGTTCATTATAATGCGATTCTGTTGTATATCATTGGTGAATTTTGTAAACCAGATCACACAAATCTCCCATTTCCAGTTTCTACTAGAAAAAAACAGGGCCCCGGAGGAAAATCACATTTCAGATCCTTTTGGGTTTATGCATTTGAAATAATTTATGTAGCTACATTCATTTGAAACAAATGGCTGCTGTGACCAGATTTTAGTGATTGTGTATATATTTATGTAGAGATATAGATAGCTATAGATACAGCATCTGTCTGTTTCTATGTCTGTGAATCCATTTGTTCAAGAACTCCTCCTGAAAGGTAAGATCTAGGGCCACCAAATTTGGTATGCAGCTTCCTCTTATCCTAACTTAAACCAAGGTCAGGATTTGGTTGCACTAGGAAAATAGGAAGTCCCTGGAATGGGATTGTTTTCCGTA